GTAGTAAACTGAGAGTGACTACAAGCAGTAGAGGAAGGAGGGTGGGACTGAAAGCTGGGGATACACGTTGTGAGTCAGATTGTAAAGAGTTCACATTCTAAGCAAATTTCTGGATCTTCAGCTTTGTAAATTGGAATTATCATAGCTCACACAAGTGAACAGTTTCTGAGATGATAATTCAGCATATCCATAGACAAAATGTTGAATGTATAAGGGTTTATTTTATATATTAAGTTTGTAGTTATATATACATATCACAATGATTGGAATATATCTGATAATTTGATACAATATCTTAGATTATTAGTTTTGTTAAGAATTAACAAATTATTAGTTTTGTTAAGAATCAGCAAAAGTGAATTGAAACCCTTTTCTGATTAAGGAAATTGTCATTCAGAAGATTATCATATAATGTACTTTTATCTAATAAAATGTTTCGTAGTCTTTGTGAATAAAAGGCTAGACTTATAGTGGTCCAAAAAGTATACATTTCTTAAGCTGATTAATTGATCTTCATTAATCTGGAAGCAGGCTTTATCAAACAACCTTGAATTATTTGTTTAAAAATTATTTCAGGGGCCCGGCGCGGTGGCTCACGCCTGTAATCCCAGCACTTTGGGAGGCCGAGGCGGGTGGATCATGAGGACAAGAGATGGAGACCATCCTGGTCAACATGGTGAAACCCCGTCTCTACAAAAGTACAAAAAATTAGCTTGGCATGGTGGCGCATACCTGTAATCCCAGCTACTCAGGAGGCTGAGGCAGGAGAATTGCCTGAACCTAGGAGGCGGAGGTTGCGGTGAGCAGAGATCGCACCATTGCACTCCAGCCTGGGTAACAAGAGCGAAACTCCATCTCAAAAAAAAAAAAAAAGTTATTACAATGAAAAGTTGAAAGCAATGAAATAAAAATGTCTTATGTCCAAAAACATGCAGTACTCACTAACAAAACATGAAGGGCACACAAATGTATTACATTGGCTCATATAACATGAGAATATAGTATGAATGCAGCAACCTAAAAGATAAAAAACGGTTCAATATAAAATGCTGAAAAAGTGTAGTTAGAGAGAGAAAGGACAATACAAGAAAAAAAAACAGAACAAGAGTAGGAAACACCAAGCTTGGTCCAAAATAAAACAAAAACAAAAATAAAACTAAAGGGTTCTTTTGACTGAAAGATCAGTAAGAAACAACATTCAAAAAATATGTTCTGTCTCATATGCCTGAAAAGAAGTATACATTGCAAGTAATTAGGCTTCATATTTCAAATTGATAGACTGTGTACAACCTGATGACAGATTGTGGCAATAGATTTTTTGAAAAGGATATTTAGAAATTTTTCAATCGCTACTAAAAGATCCTAACAAATTAATGATGCTGAATCCAGAAATGTAGACTATGGAGCTTTAATGTATTTGTCTTTTAAAATTTTGAAAGAATGTCAGAACGTATAATAGAAGTATTCAGTAGACTTTCAGAAAGCAGAATAATGGGTAGAGACTGACATTTATGTGGGTGGAAGTTACGGAGAAGCCAACTTTATCTTCATATAAAGAAAAATGTTATCATAAGGAATCTTGTCCAAAGTAACTTGGTGATTACCCCAAGAGTATTCAATAAGTAAAGAAATCACACTTAGTTTTTGCTCCTTGTATGTCCTCATGGGATGGCTCTAGAGTTTAACCTTGTTATGAAGTTATAATTGACTTATTTTTCAGCCTTCTCTCAGAGGAACTTCTGCCTCCAAAATTCTGTAAAATGTTATGCTGCAATTCTCTGAATAATTTCATGAGATTGGAAAAAACTAAGACTACTATGAATTCTAGCTGCTGCTATCTTTGTAGGTCACCAGGGATCAGGGAGTTTCATTCACCTTAAATTTCCATTTTGCTCTCATCTTCAATCTAAGGCCTCTGAAATGTGTCAGCAGGGAGGCAAAAGATTTTCACGCAGTTTGATTTCATAGATTCAATTAACATTTATTCAGTTTTTGTAGGGAAATACCCATTATTTGCTGAGAAAACTACAGAGATTCCCAGTCCATCGTCTTCATCCTGTGTGCAGGAAGACATCTGTAACAGGTTTTCAAACAAAATTAAAGAACAAACTTTAATAATGGTAATGGGAAATTATGGACCTAGGCATAACCGCTAAGAACATGGTCATACCATGCCTATAAGGGTACTTATTTTTGCTGGGGATTAAACATCATTTGAGATATTTAATTTTGATGTGGCCATTGATCATTTATACTTTTTAATTTTTTTATAGAAGGAAGTAAAAAGAATTTGGAACTTTACTGTTTCATGTAAACAGTTTGTAAGACAGAAGAAACATAGGTTCAGGTAAGAATAATTATAAAACAATAAATCATACGTTTTTAGTATTATAAGCCAGCCAGAACATGTTTAATATGCTTCAATATATTTTTTCTCAAGTTTCAAAATGTTCTATGCCACAGATTAAAAATTATCAACATGAAAATAAACTTCAGTATTCCTATCTCATTGCTTGAAGAAAGATCATAGCTAAATCAGACTGGGAGCATGATACTTGATATATAAAATCTAGTCCTAGTGATGTGTATTCTATAATCTTTCTTGTTTCACTGCTTAGAAAACCTCACAATCATAAAAATTCTCCTTTATCTCTATTCCAATTATTCCATACCAAAATTGGCTCTTTAACATTTTTTATTAATGGAGATGAATCTTTTCATAGTCAATGTTCTATAATTTTGCATGAAAATATTTTCATGGTCAATATCCTATAAATTTGCATGCAAATTCTATAATTATAATTCTGTAATTATTCTAAAGTCAGGCTTGCTCTCAAAAGCCTATCTGTACTAAAGTTGCTATGTTCCAAGAACCTCTTACCTAAAAGTTTTATCATCTTTAGTATTTTAAAAATAAGTGTTCTTTAAAAATTTAGGAGTCAGTTTATTTATTTATTATTGGTCATTTAGTAATAAATCAAAGGTGGTTATTACCTTGTAATAAACATCTCATCTCATGTACCAAACATATTGTAAGTTGGAATTACATTTAATTCTTTTTTGTCTTCATTTTTAATGCCAAATGCAATACTTGACACAGAATAGATGCTTTAAAATGTTAACTAAATGTATTAGTTGATAATCAGACAGATGAAATGCATCAATTCTCAAAAAACTAATATGTCACTTTCATAAAGTGTCAAAAAGTAGCATTTGATTTGGTATAAGAATTTAAGGGTTTTTTCCTCTTTCTCCTGCCCTTTTCCCTCCTCCTCCTCCTCCATTTCTTCCTTTTTTAAAAATAAGATTAAACAACAAGGCTTGTTAAGCTTGTGAGTTTTTTAAGAGTTTATATGCCATTGATATAAAAATTATATATACTTAAGGTATAAGACTTGATGTTTTAATATCTATACATTGTGAAATGGTCACCACAATTAAACTAATTGTCACAAGCTTGTGACATATTGCAGAAGGGAGACATACATGTAAAATGATTTTAGCATGTCTTAAAAGTCCTTACTATTTTCTATAACTGATCTCCTTTTCTCATTTCAAACCAACAAATGATGGCTGAGGTTTGAAACTGTTCCATTCAGCTTCACACCTAAAATGCTTCATTCTATTCTAGGAATCAAATTTAGTCATTCTCGTGTATGTTAAGCTGTAAGTCTAATTTATCTCCCCAAATAAAACCAAATGACTATACATTTATTTGAATAGATTTCAAATATATGGTGGGGCAGTTGGTGTGAGGACAGTGGAGACTGAGAATACTAATATTATTGTGTTCAATCATTTTTTCTGTTGATTTGAAGGTGTTTGAATTAATTTTAGTCTTTTTTGGATGAGGTCGTTGAGAGAGGTAACAAATGAAAGATGTAAGGAAGATCTTGAAGGCTTTGGGATCTGAGGGACTTTTGTAGAACACAGGAAAATAAAAAAAGTAAACCTCTTACACCTCTTAGAGTTGAGGGAAGATGAAGAGTCAAAGAGGAATTCTGCACGTTCTGTAATTACGATTGCTAGTGTGGCACTTATTTCAATTTTGGCAAAGATATTTTCTGGATCATTTGTTTGTTTTTATTATCCATACCACTCCTCGGAAGGATGAATGACATTTGGTTTAAATGCCACCAAAGAAGAAACGATGTGGTATGATCATCTTTAACTGATAGACAACTTAATAGACAGTGAGTGTGTTGCTTTACACAAAGACAAAAACCAGAAATATTTCAAATTAACCAAAGTTGTTTTGGTTGCTTAATAGGCCACCCAAATTCAAATAGGCTAATTTGGATGCATTTAAGAAATTAATGTTATTTATTCTTAAACTACTGAACTCTTACCATCAGCTTAAGAGTTCAAAAAATTTTCTATATAACTTAATGTATTATTTTACACAGTATGGACTGCATAAAATCATATATTAGATGGTATAGCAAATATAATTTTCTTAATTTACACCTATTTTTTTCTCAAGTTCAGAAAAGTTTGATGACATGACCTCCTTGACAGGTTTATGTAGATAAAAGCAGAATCAGTAAGTTTTACAGAATAAAAAACATAAAGACATTGTCTACATTTTATTTTTGTCCTTAAATAAAATTAAACTATTTCCAGGAGCTGAAGACTGGTTGCATTTTAAAAGATCCCTGTATGCCTATGTAACGAACCTGCATGTTCTGCATATGTATCCCATTTTTTTAGAAGAAATAAAAAAAACAAATAAATAAAAGATCTCTAAGTAAGACAGTTGACTGATAATTTCCCTGAGGTTGTAAGAGCTCTTTTGGTAGCAAGTTCATGTTACTTGGGAATGTACTTTTAGCTTTCTTTTCCCTTACTTATTGGTTTTCTTATTACCACTTTGAAACAATGTGTTTTTAAAGGAAAAGTGAATATTACACGATACTTTAAAACTTAAGGATGAGTCTTTTTTTTTTTTTTAGTATTAGGAATTTGCCGACAATATTTTGAAATCAACATCTCAATCACAAATGACATCTCATAAACCATCTTATGCAACAAGGTAGAGAGATGTACAAAAGTATCAAACTACATTGTGTTGAAATTATTACTAGGCTGAATACAAAATACTGTACCTGGGTCCAACCTCCATTGTTAGCCAGTTGTATTACCTTAGGCAAGTCAAAATAGCTCTCATCTTTCATTTGCTCATGTGTGCAAATGTAATGGGACAATGAAGGCATATGCCAACTGTAAAGTTTTCTTTAATGTTAAGTGTTTTTGTCATAGTAGAGAAAGTATAGAACATTTATTTGCTGACTTTCTATTATACATTGAAGCAGAAATTTGCCATGGGTGACAAGGGAGGAGACAACCATTCAGAAGTGACTGACTTCATTCTTGTAGGCATCAGAGTTCGTCCAGAGCTCCACAGTCTCCTTTTCCTACTATTCCTGATTATTTATGGGATGGTTCTTCTGGGAAACCTTAGCATGATTGGCATCATTGTGACTGATCCCCGGCTGAATGCACCAATGTATTTCTTCCTAGGCAATCTTTCCATCATTGATCTCTCCTACTCTACTGTTATTGTACCCAAAGCCATGGTCAACATCCTATCTCAGAAAAAGACCATATCCTTTGCAGGTTGTGTGGCACAGCTGTTCCTTTACGCACTTTTCATGGTAACAGAGGCCTTTGTTCTGGCAGCCATGGCCTACGACCGCTTCATTGCCATCTGCAACCCACTCCTCTACTCTGTTCGCATGTCAAGAAGTGTCTGTATCCAATTGGTGGCTGGTTCCTATCTCTGTGGCTGGATCAGTTCCATCATTCAAATCAGTGTCACGTTCTCTATGTCTTTCTGTGCCTCCCGAGTCATTGATCACTTCTACTGTGATTCTAACCCGATTGAAAAGATCTCCTGTTCCAATGTCTTTATGAATAAGATGGTGTCACTTAGTTTGGCTGTCCTCATTATTTTGCCCACAATAGTTGTTATTGTGGTATCTTATATGTACATCGTGTCCACAGTTTTACAGGTTCACTCCAGTGAAGGGAGGAAGAAAGCCTTCTCCACTTGCAGCTCCCACTTGGGGGTTGTAAGTTTGCTCTATGGAACTGTCTCTTTTGTGTATCTCACGCCTCCAAACAACCCTGAGCTTCGTAAAGTGGCTTCAGTATGTTACATTTTGTTCACACCTATGTTGAATCCTTTAATCTACTCTTTAAGAAATAAGGATGTTAAAGATGCCGTGAAAAAAGTCTTATGGAAGAAAAAATTTTTACTCTAAATATGCTTTCATTTGTTTTTCTGTTTCTTGTATCAATTATTTTTTACTGCCTGGTTTTCTAGATGTAGACATTTAAAGTTCAAGTTAATTATTTGCTGAGATGAAGTCTTGCCCTGTCACCCAGGCTGGAGTGCAGTGGCGCCATCTTGGCTCACTGCAACCTTTGCCTCCCGAGTTCAAGAGGGTCTCCTGTCTCAGCCTCTCAAGTACTGGGATTACAGGCGTGTGCCACCATGCCTGGCTAATTTTTGTAATTTTAGTAGAGATGGGGCTTCGTCATGTTGGCCAGGCTGGTCTCAAACACCTGACCTCAGATGATCCACCCGCCTTGGCCTCCCAAAGTGCTGGAATTATAAGCGTGAGCCACTGCACTCAGCCAAGTTTATTTATTTATTTATTTATTTATTTTCACAAAAGCACTTTCTATTTGAGGCAAAGAGAAGTCTTCCTGAAAGGATTACAGTTCCAAGCAGTCAAAACTCAGCTGTTAGTGGCACCATTTTGACTTGGCAGATTTTGCTTCTCTTTGGTCAGAAAGGGTATTCAGGTTGTACTTTCTCCAGTGGGGCAAAGAGAAAGGCAAAGCAAACTGGAAGAGACTTCTACTCTACGGGCAGGCCTCGTCAGATCCAACATCAAGCCAGGCATGCTCTCGCTGGCCACTCGCTGTCCCACTGCTGAATGACACAGGCTATACTACATTTGCAAGGAAAAAAATGAGGCAGGAAACACAGGTAAAGGTCACTTAGGGATGAGCAGGCATCCACAGCTTCAAAACTCTTTATGGAAGGGGTAATCCTTGTGGGAGACAGCGCTCACCAAGGCACAGACCCTCCAGTTCCTGTTGTAGCCGAGTAAGGTGGTCATATCCTCGCTGCTCAGTTCAAAATCAAAGACCTGAAAGTTCTCAGCAATGCATTCTGGTGTCACAGACTTGGGGATCACCACCAGGTTCCTCTGCATGGGGAACCGGATCAGCACCTGAGCTGTGGTTTTATTGTGCTTGTCTGCGATTGCCTTGATCCTGGGATCCTTCAGGAGGGAAGGGTCCTCGGGCTTGGCCCAGGGCCTGTCGGGAGAGCCTAGGGGGCTGTAGGCAGTCACCACGATGCCTTTGGACTGGCAGTACTGGATTAACTTCTCCTGAGTGAGGTATGGGTGGCACTCAATCTGGTTAAATGCAGGCTTATACTTTAAGCCAGGTTTGTTTAAGATCCTCTCCACCTGGAGATGGTTGAAGTTGGAGATGCCAATAGCTTTCACCAGCCCTTCATCCACCAGTTCTTCCATGGCCGCCCACATGTCCAGAATGTTGGTGTCACTGGGAATCATGTTGCCTGACTCATCCAATGGGAAAAATTCCTTCCCAGGCTTAAAGCCAGTTGGCCAATGAATAAGGCAGAGGTCCAGGTAGTCCAGCTTCAGGTCACTGAGTGTCTTCAGGCAGGCTCCTTTCACCAGGCCGTTCTCATGGTACATGCACCACAGCTTGCTGACGATGAACAGCTCCTCACGCTTCACCACCTGCTCCTTGAGCTTCTCCTGAATGGCTACCCCCACCTCATTCTCATTGTGGTACACGTGGGCACAGTCGATGTGGCAGTACCCAAAGTCGATGGCCACCTTCACAGCCTGGAGGGGACTTCCAGGTGCCCAGCCCGAGGATGGGCATCTTGGCACCGTTGTAGAGCACGAGGTGGCCTGCCATTGTTGCTGTGCTCCCCAGACCCCCACCCAGAACAATACCAAGTTTATTTATTTTTTAAAGCAACTCCTTAAGTTGAATAATTTCCCATAATGAATGTTATGCATAAATTACTTTTTCCCAAGGAAATGTTAAATTGGAAAGTTCTGGACATTTATGAAAATGTGTTATGTTTCTGTAAATGTAATGTATTTGTCACTTTCTTTCTGCATCTTCACATAATAATATGTTAGGTGAAATGGGGAGGTATAATATTTTATTATTTCTCTTTGCTTGCCTAGGTGAAGTTTAGATACAGGAAATACTTTATATGGTGATTAACTTGGAGACTGTGTGTCTCAGCTGGTTGATATGCAAATGACATTTGTTATAAATGCTAGTATTGTGTTTTGGTTTTGATGACATGCCAAAGATGTGAGAGCATGTGTATCTGATGAAAAGGAAATAGAATGGAAAAATAACCTTTTCCATTAAGAGCATTAAGGAAGATAATACTCTTTGTTGAATTAAAGGGGCCAAAGAAGAAGATATATGGGCAAATTGCTTTGATTTGGTTTAAATCAAGATATTTTATTTAATGCTCTGTGAATGACAGTCATCTCTGTTTTTCTCTAATGAAAACATCTTCTTATAATTCCCTGATGTTTTCAGCTCATGCTATCTTCTGGATAATATCAATTATTGGTTATAAATATGCAGCTAGTGAAAGTTCTATATTGAAATGAAGTCAGCTTGAAAATCTCAGTTACAGATATCACAAGGTTTTACAGTAGTCTATATGAATGGTTGAATTATATGTGTGTGTATGTATGCATGCATACCTTACAGTAGCCTACATGAATGGTTGGATTACATATGTGCACGTATGTATACATGCGTATGTTTGTTGCTATATATCTGTGTGTTAGTTTGGGTATGAGATGTTTAAAAATGTGATTAGCCCTAAACTTCAAATGTCAGTTTAGAAAAGGGTAGTTAAGAGACTGCTCCACAGCTTTGATAAGTATCAAGGGAAGCCAGATTCCAGAAAAAGTCATGTCAGAGTTAGTATTTTGCAAATGATTTAAGTAATACTTTAAACAAACAGTTGCAATTCCTAAATCTAGGCAATATCACCAAAGACAAAATCTAAACCTAAGAAATAAAATACAACTGTCAGTTTTGTTCATATACTCGACATCGTAAAAACCTAGCATATGGATCTTTAGATCTATTTTTTTCTATTTTTGTTTAGTTGGTGAAGTCTCCCTTGATGAATGTACAATGGCATGCATATTTGTAGATTAAATTTTATTAGGGGAAGGGATTTGAGGTTAATTATTCTTATCTAGGAGAAGAGAAGGAAGCTACAAGACGTAACAAATCAAGGTTACATTTATCCCCCCTCCCAACGCCGGTCAATATGCCATTTCTCTTAATGCTTAATTTCATAAAAATAATGTTTGAGAGCACAATAGAAATTCAACTCACTTGGGAAATGAATTTTCGGTGTAAATTATTATTAGTCTGGAGGTTTTGCTACTTATACTGAATGCCCATCAGCCTTAGACTGCCATTCTTTGATGCATCTACTAAGTGTGAGTACTTAAAGACCACTGGGGATAGGCAGGAGAATATTGCATAAGAATGCAGCCTAGATCCATTTGCTTTAGTCTTAAATATGTTGGATTACATATCCTGCTTTGTAGCCATAATAGATTACAGTATTCCAGGGAATAACCTCATAAGTGGCATTGCCTAAACCACTTCAAATATTCAAATAAATCCAGAAAAAAATGGAAAATCCAAGACAAACTGCTTTCTTTTAAATTACCATAAAGATTTTCCTTGGTAAATTTTTTTTCTGGGTTTATATGCCTCATTTAAAAAGTAGTGCCCAATTTATAACTTTCTTGTTACTTGTGCCATCGAGATTCCATCAGAACAACCCTATGTCATGCCACATTTTGTTGGCTCTCATTAACAAAGTGTTTTATTTTAAAATTATGTGTAGATTGCTTTTGAAACATTACTACATCCAAGAGAGTTTGAAGTTCACATTCTGCATCCTATACATCAAAAGTTTTTATTTAGAGGAGACTTTAAAACTTGATGCAAAATCCACATTGAAAAAGCTTTTACTATAATGATATGATCTTGAGAGACTGAAGATTGTATTAGGCATCTTAAACCCTGAAAGTACCTGTAATGCATTGTTTTATTTTTCCTGGTTATAACTTTTTGTACATACACATATACTGATTGATCTGTAGCATGATATACTTCAGTTTGTCTTTAAATTTGATGTCATGTTGGAGTTTACCTAACATTAATTCTATTAATATTTGGTGTACTGATATGGAACTCTGGTGAAGGTACATAGAATACTGTTTTCTATTACCAGGATTACTAAGATTCTCTGACTCTGATAGTTGCAAATGATAAGCACTGACATAAATTTCACAAATATGTTAAAGTCACTAAATTAAACGTTGTTTACTAGCACCCAGAGCTTGCTCCTCTTGCCTTCAGATAGTTTCAACTCCTTATTATGAGATTTAAATTGTTATGTTGATTGAAGTAGCTGAACTAATAAAATATTATAAAAATGTTTCAGTGGGTGGATCGATACCGAACTATGTTATTTTTGCTCTTGTGAGTTGAGGATGAGACATCACTTTGCCTAATATCACAATGCCAGAATAGGTGATAAAATCAATAAAAATTCTGAATGTTTGTAAACTATTTTCCTAGTGACCTCAATGAGGACAAACTACTGTTGAGGGCTGGAGAGGAAGATGAAGAAAAAGGAAAAGATGGGTTAAGAAAAAAAGCAGGATATGTCAGAACTGAAAGCAAAATGAATGAAAAAGAATTCATTTCAAAGTCATTTCCTAATTATCCCAATTTTGTAAAAAAAAAAAAAAAAGATAAAACAACAAAACCCAAAAACTTTACAAATACTAGTGTCCATAATTCTTATGTTTATAAAATATGGCTTCTAGATTTTTGAAATAGCTCCTTCTTTCTTTCATTTGGTTTCACTCTGTTGACCAGGCTGGAGTACACTGGCGCAATCTCAGCTCCCTGCAACTTCTGCCTCCTGGGTTCAAGTGATTCTCCTGCCTCAGCCTCCTGAGTAGCTGGAACTACAGGTGCCCATCACCATGCCTGGATGATTTTTTGTATTTTAATAGAGACGAGATTTCACCGTGTTAGCCAGGATGGTTTCGATCTCCTGACTTTGTGATCAGCCTGCCTCAGCCTCCCAAAGTTCTGGGATTACAGGCATTAGCCACTGTGCCCGGCCCCTTGTCTCTTTATCACTTTTAAAGCATCCACCTGTTCAAATTTTTTGGCACTGTGAGGATTGGCATCAGCTTCCTCAGTTGAGTGTCTCGTAGGTAGGTTTCTTTTGTGACAACCTACAAAAACTAGCTTTGGATTTAAGCAAAAGGTAAACATTTAGTCATATAAATTTTCTTTTGCTCTGTCTGCACATACACAATTGTAACACTGGAAAGGATGAGCTTCTCCTGACCATTCCAGGAAACTAGAAAACAGAAAACAAAAAAAATTTCAAATGCAAGCCAAACTTTTCAAATGCTACTCTAGGAAATATTTACTTCAATAAATTTAAGGGTCTTTTTTCTTCTGCTGGAAAATCAAATTCCAGTGAATAAGATCCTTATGTTCCATCTTTGAGCATGTGTCTACTCATTATCCTAAAATCCATCTCATCTATTTCACTGTCCAAATTCTTTTCTTTCCATTTATACAATTATCAAACTTCCAACATGTAACATAATGCAAAAAGTCATGCCTTACAAAATTATTGTCATTCTATTCCTTAAGAGACACAATTCAAAATATCATGTGTTGCTATGTTTAGCTCCTAGTCTAACATCCCTGGTCGATTTCCATTCTTGTATGAAATAGTTGAGAATTCCATTTTAATAGTTTGTGATCTATGTACTGATGGTAAGCTATCATCTTCCCTACTATAGTTAATAATAAATAAATAAATATGTAAACAGATATAAATTTCAATATGGAGAAAATAAACAATTTAATTAAATATTAAAGTTGTATT